CCTCACATTATGCACCTTAGAAACAAATTGACCAGCTTTATACACCTCATACGTTTTATATGTGGCACAAATTGGGGTGCGAAAGTAACATCAGTACTGCGTCTTTACAAAGCTCTATTTGAGGGTCTATTGAGGTACAGCCTGCCAGTCCTTCATGGGATGTGCGCCACGAATTTGAAGCGACTACAAAGTGTACAGGGCTCTGCTCTTCGTGCTTGCTTAGGTGTTCCACACTCAACATCGACTTTAGGTGTTATAGCAGAAGCTGGGTGCCTATCGATTGAAGCACTTCGTGCAAAAGAAACACTACGTGTACACTTACGCCACCTAACAAGGCATGAATCCCACCACCTTGCCCGGATACAATCATCCAGGAAAGATTCAAGCTATGCTAAATTCTTGATACAGCAGGAGCCAAATATACCAAAGCAGTTTGAAACACCTAAGTTGGCGGATGTTCCACCTTGGACACTAACATGCCCTACAATATCACTCAATATAGATGGCATACAGAAAAAAGCGTCAACTGCACAAACTGTATTAAAGCAATTGACCCTCTCATTAATCAATATCAACCATCGGTTCAGAACTCACATTTACACTGACGGGTCAACAACTCATCAAAGCTCAGCTACCGGAGTAGTTATACCCATGGAACTAGTCGAGCTTAAATTCAGACTAGACCACCGCACCTCATCAACTGTCTCGGAGCTGGTGGCCATTAGGGAAAGCTTGAAATATATAATACGCACCGAACCACGAGCATGGTCCGTTTTCACTGACTCAAAAGCTGCACTCCAGAGCATGCAGCACTATCTACGACGTGGAGCAAATGAACAGCTGACATTCACCGTAGTCAGCCTCTGCCAACAGGCCCAACAGGCTGGCCACCACATTCACTTCCAATGGATCCCGAGCCATTGTGGCGTCCCTGGTAATGAGGCCGCTGACCAAGCAGCAAAGAGCGGTCACGACAACATTTCTAGCATTTCTGTTCCATATTCAAGAACTGACGCTGGTGCAACAGTTTTCTGGGTCGGAAAAAAGATAGGTGCGGCCCTCTGGGCAAGTTCTTCTCACCACTATCCACGACTTTATAATATAGATCCTGAACTTAAGTTCAGACCGCCCAGAAACCTTACAAGAAAGACTGAATCAGTACTTCACCGAATCAGGCTGGGCGTTGCATTTACATATAAATATCTCCGCTGTATTGGAAAAAAACCTTCTGCAAACTGCTTGATATGTGAAGAAGTGGAGTCACTGGAACACCTGTTATGCACTTGCACAATTTATGGCGTGGAAAGGGAGGTGCTTACTGAAGAACTTTCCCAGCTGGACTCCCGACCGTTCTCTCTCCAGAAGATCTTAGGAGCGTGGGAGAGCCCAGAAAAGCTGGCTGATGCGACCAAATACCTATTACGTTTCTTACGTCATACCCAACTTATTTGCCGTCTTTAAGGAGCAGATATAGAGCTACACGTTATTTTGATGTGTTTTTATTAATTTCCTCTTCTTGCCCTTTTTTGGCATCCCCTATTCCCCCTCCCCAGCACAGAGAAACTGGTTAATGCAAACTGCATGGAGCGGCCTCTCTGTCTTTCTAAATAAACCTCTTCTTCTTCTTCTTCTGTATATATGTTGTGAAGACATTTGTGTTTACCCACATCTGAAAGTCCAAATATATGCTGCTGATGCATACAGCCTGCCTATTTTACCATACAATAATCGAAGAAGTTAACAAAGATCATAATGAAATTAATCCAAAGGTGCAAGCGAGCTGGACAAGAATGACAATATTAACCCATGGGCCTCCCCACTGAAAATAGAGAGGTCCCTGGTTCGATACCAGGACAAGGCGGATTTTTGCGGTCGCGCACCGGTCACCTGGTTGTGTTTGGAGATTTCTGTTTGTCCTTTGTCTCCTTTGTTCCCTTTCCCCAGGGATTAATATTGCCAAGTTAACAAAGCTCACGCGCGATCCAGGCCAACGAAAACGCCAGTTGCCGTCGCTTTGTGTTCAGGTGAAGAGGGTCACCTCGAACGCGGCTATCGCGGTTTTGGTTGCCTGTGCCGCCGGCAAGGGCTCGCCGGGGATTGACCGCCCGAATTTGCCATAAAGCTAGCCGTAATCAAATCGAGCAACATACAAAAATAATAAAAAAAGTACTTACGTTGCTTTTTCCACAGTGGTACAAAAATTATGCTGCGCTGTCTGCTTGTTTTGGAGGCGTCGTGACTAAACTGTACGACTTATGAGTTTAGAAATGAGGTTTGTAGAAAACAATTGAAAAGGCAAATTTTCAGAATGTACCGTCATTCAAAACGTTAACTGCCCCTCCAACACCCCACCCAAACACATTTTCTCAGCTACGTAGTCAACATGATGTTAGGTACATATATATATAGTCGCAGACATGCTAATAAACGCAGGGTGTGAGCTAATATGCTCGCGCTTCTGATTGCCACAATTTGATTGGCTTCGTAGTGAAAATGAGACGCTCGGAACTCAGCCAATCCCTGCGCATATTTGGCTGTCCGTGAGCGTGTAGGTCTCTCTACGATTATTCTTTCGTACGCCTCTCCATGAAAAGAGTTGTTCAAGTTCTGCAACTTTTTGAATTAAGGAAAAACCCCTGAAACGAGATTGAGTTCGAGGTATTAGCTTTTGACATGGGTGTAAACTTGATATAGAACTAAATAAGTACTACGGTGTTATTACTGTCATTGGTAAATTTGCTGTTCATGGTAATCCTTATGTGGCATGAAGGTACAATTTTTAGTCTCCTGCGTAGCAACCAACAGTCACAAAGTAAGACCGGTGACAAGAATTATATCCAAGCCGAAAACGACAAACATCGACACTTTAGAAATTGTTGTATTGAACGCGACATTGTTGACATCCAACATTTCTGTCGTTTGTGTGGAAGTTTCATCGCTCATTTTCGAACACGCTTTCCGAACCCGTCCGTGCAGTCCTCTCGGATCCCATCAAAAGAGACATTTCTGCGAGAGCGCACTTTGAGGAGTTGAGCAAACATGATCAAGTGCTTGCGTCCGCTTCCTTACACCCCCCCCCCCCCCCCCAAATCGCCCACCCCCCCAAGCCCCTTACTTCCAAAACAAACATACACACACATACCTAGGCACACTCAAACGCTCGAAAACATTAACAACATATAAGACAAATCTGGCGCGTCGTCGGTCAAGCAAGCCTTGCGACGCTGCCGAAATAACCACGTACGGCTCACCGATCTCAATCCCCCCCAAGTAGCCAATTTACCAAAATGTCTCCTTTGAAATGTAATAGGGCCTACTTGAGCCTAAGTACCTACGGAAAGTCATCTCGCGGTTCGAGGTTGGCTGCACGCATACACTTGAGTAGAGCCCGCTACCATGTGCCCTGTCAACTTTCGAAATTGGTTCATCTCCAATGCCTCCCTTCCGCGGATTGCTGCAGCCGCGGGTTTCTGAACTAAGGGGTGCCTGTTGAGAACCTTGGCATAATGACGTAACCAGGAACGAGCACATTTTACGAAACGCAGCACATCGATCTTACTACGACGTGTGTGTTAGTTTTATTTGATAGTTATGCGTCCTTCAGTTAGAGGGCGAATTTCGAGCTTCAATGGAGCGCAACCCGCACTCTCGTGTTGCTTGGGTGAACAACTTGCAAACTCCGATTAGTGCAAACTTTAATTCGGGAACCTTTTTCTTTTAACTATATACGGCGAAGGCCCGATGTATTTAACCCATTTAAAATCAATCGCAAAATTATCTTTGTATGCTACGACGCTGTAATTTACAATGAAATTGAGGTTAAGTAGCTGATAGGTCTCGTGAAAATATCAAGGGATAAACTTGTTTCCCACAAAATCAAAGTTTTGCAATCGTTCAAGAGGGAATTCAGCCTTCTTTGAAGGGAAATACAACCCTTCTTGTAGGTTGTTACGATTTATGATTTAACAAAAACAAGAACAAAAAAAAGGCAGTAAAGGACATCTTTCTGACTTTGCAATTGGCCCTTTTTTCCAGTACAATTCCACAATGGTTCAGAAAACGTTTTTTTTTTTTTTCTTTTAGCTTCGATAAATGTTAAACCAAAGATACTAGCGAATAGTTTGCCTCTACATTTGAGGGTCACTCGCCATGGTTGTGTAGGCTGGATTATAAAGTTCCTCATTTGTTTCTTGCCTATTAGAAGTAAAGCAAACATTTGTTCGTTCATCTTCAATCAATTTACCAGAAAACCGTCATTCGCATTGTTGCGTGTTTATGTTTATACATGCGCGTACGAATGTTTATACGTGCTTCTGTGACACCCTCTTTGAACATGTATTAGCGTCGAGATGTTTCGGTGGCGCCCTCGTTTGGTTACCTTTCGTGACGTTATTGCCTTGTGAAGCACAAGTTCAATGGTGTTTGTAATGAGCATGGTGAAAGCCTGAAATCATAGCGCTCTCGAAGTAACACTGCCCACACCGTCAATAGTGAAGTTCTTACATTCCTCTTTTTTGCGTCGATTTGATATCCTTTGCTGACGTCATAGACAGCATTCGGCCGATTGTGGTGGGCCGACCACAGCGACGCTTTCGATCGCTCACGCCGCCAATAGGAAGTTTTCACTGACGTAATTTCGTCTACCATTTTGTTGTTGGGAGCTGCCTGGCGTGTGCCGAAGGTGAGCATTCTAAGTATATACAAGACCACTCAAATGCGTAGAGTATAGAAGCTTATAAGTATTAAAACGCTGACATCTTCTTAACAGGTTTTTTGCGATGTAATCCTTCAAATTAGTAAATTTCTTTGAAAAAAACTTACAACAAAATGGCGGATTGACGTCATGTGAAAACACCCTATAGTCGCCGAACCTGCACACAGTCGCACGTAACCTCGCACACGATCGCGAGAGAACAGTGCGGAGACCCGACTGTTTCTCTCTCCTCTAACATTCTGTCGCCTTTCTAGCTTCTAATAATATCCGACATTTTGCTACGCAGACCTCGCCGTGGGCCTCATCAACGTGCTCACGGACATCGTGTGGAAAACGACCGTCGACTGGTACGGCGGCAACGTCGGCTGCAAGCTCGTCAAGTTTGCCCAGGTGAGGAGCAGCGCGTATTCCGATATGGACTTGTCGCAAAGGTAGGCGTTATGTCACACTGCTAATATGTCGTATAAAAGACAGTCTGCAGATACACTCTGAGGCGTGCTTCTTCCTCGTATACGACGGCCATGTCACACTGGTCGTACAAAGACTGCCTGCGGTCATGTTCAAAGCACACATACATGTGTACGGGGGAGACATGCGGAGCGCACATGCTGCAGTGAACACGGTGTCTTTTTGTATGAGGTATGAGAAGAAGCGTCTGCGGTTTGAAGGCCGACCTGCAAAATCGTCCTCTGCCGGGCAGAAATCCGGTTTCCAGTTTTCCTTTCCTCCATTCCCCCTCGCCCTCTTCTCCCCTCCCCTCCATAAATTAGCGTCACTCTGAGCTACTCTCCGCAAAAAGAAGGAAGGTCTCCCTCCTTATCGAATGAGGAATTGAGGGAGAGTTTCCTCCTTTTTGGCTGATCGTCGACCTTTAAGTTTTAAGTGTTTGCGTACGAACATTGCCGGATTTTACCAGATAGGGTTCCACTGAAATCCGGCAATGTTCGTACAAAAATGTCCACATGATGGCGTGGGGAGAGAGAGGAAAAGAGCCCTTCCTCTCGCAGTCGTTTCTCGCATAACCATGTCAACTGTGCCGAGACCAACGAGGTAGAGGGGCTTAGAGCGATAAACTGGTATCTCGTACACCAGGAACAAGTGAACCCCCCCAAATGGCCGCCGCCATGTGTTACAGTTTTGACCACTAGAACACGTGACAGTACCAAATCCTGAGGCTTTTACGCAAAACGGAGGCGAAAGTTTGTACTGAGATCGCTGCAAAAAAAAAAAATGATAAACTACTTTATCGATACAATTAGCCCCAGAGATCAGTATCTAGCTCTAATTAAAAACCCAAATACAGCACCGCGGCTGACGGCATCTAGCGGAGCCATATTTTGACGTAGAAGCACATTTTCGACTCAAAACAAACTAAACATAACTTATCTCGTCGGTACTGTTATTAAAGACCAGTAAGCAATTATCTCTCCGCTGTACTTTGTTAAAATCGAGACGTATAACTCTAGCGTCACGCGTCTAGTGGTCAAAAATATGCAACATGGCGGCTTCCGGGTGGGCCGTTTCCATGTTGCACATGGCAGCTGAATGCATACAGCATTCAGCTGCCCGTTTATCGCTCTAAGCCTCTTTACCTTTTTGGGCACGACATTCCCTCACCCGCCCCCCCCCCCACCCCCCCTACTTGCCGCCGCCACTGCGAAAGAGCCACGTAATAGGGAGGGGGGGGAGAGCGACATTTCTGTAAAATAATTTTAACTAAACAGAGACTGACATAAGACTCTTGTCTGTATACAAAGAAGAAGATGAAAGGAGAGGGAGCACACGCAAGTCAGTAAAAGGGTCCCAACCCAGTCGGATGTCCTGTCATTCACAAATCGACCTCACAACGTCACCCGCAAAGTCATCAGTTAACGAATAGAGCGCTTAAATGTGCAACAAGCTCTCCCGCCTTATCACCCTCTCCCTCTCGCCGTCGGCCCCCGGGACAACCGCGTTAACTGTGGCCAGGTGCTCTATCGCCGCAATCGTTCGATCGGAGTGAAAGCAACAATCTGCAATACCTAGTGTTATTCCCACATTAGGTATTGCAACTTCGACTGACCTACTACTGCGGCATTCAACCTTTACACAATTTATCCCTTTCAGAAATTAAGACTTTGAGAGGTATCAGTAATGGACACTGTGACTTTTGAATCGAGGGCATTTTGTAGAACCTCCGATTGTTAAAAGTACGTAACACCAAAAATAAATAATCGAGGAAAGAAAAACGGGTTGGGGGGGGGGGGGGGGGGGGGGGAGGGGGGACGGTTTATATAGCAGACCTAGGTCACTTAAAAAAATTAATTGAACAGCAAGTTATGAGCAGTCAATGCTTCGTGATTTGGTTGCTTCGAAATTTACAGACAAAAACATGAAACTTTAAACTCTTTTCATCAGCAACGCTGTTGTTGTTGTTGTTCGTTTTTATTGACATCCAATATAAATGGTTGATTCACCGGTATTTCCAATGTTGCGAACGTTCAAGTTTCTGACCTGTTGCGTTTTTTTTTTTTCCTCTTGAAGAACCGCATTAAGAGTGTACTGACCTGTGCCGTTTGGCTGCGTGATTGTTATAAAAGACATTGTCAGCTATTTTTCAATGGCAAAAAAAAAAGGAAGTATTCTAAAGATAGTGTTTTCAATATATATATATGGGAATGAGTGAACACTGACCAGTGCAGCCATAGTAATATTGTGAACAAGGAGGGGAGAAAGTGATTATTGAATTTCTTGCATCAAAGTTAGAGAAAAGGAAAGAGAGCTTTCCCTAACTTTGATGCAAAATATTCAATAATCACTTTCTCCCCTCTTCGTTCACAATATATATACTATATATATATATTGTAGTTTGTAGTTATGATTCGTTGCTATAATTATTAAGGCTGGAAAGACTATCAACGTGGAAGGCTATTAGAAACATCCATTTTTTTTTATAAGGTAGTGCATGGTACTGTCAAAACTGAGAGCTTATTTGTGGGTATAGACTTTCATGGTGCCCACTAGAGCTAGTCGCCATTTTTTAACATTTATTCCAACAGAATTTGCGAATCGTCACCGTTATTTCGTATACAGTATGTTTTTAAATACGTAGGCAATTGTGAATAATTTAAGCCAGCCTTGCGAAAGTGTATTTCATCTGACTCAAAGTTTGTGTAGGAGTATTGGCTTCGCAAACTTGTATTCCTGTACTTTCACATGTTTTTGTGCATTTTAAATAGTGTTGTAGTAAAGACGAACTGAGAGTGAACCGCACAAAAGGTTTCATAATTGTTTGTGGGCACTAAGAAAAAATAAAGCATCGTTATTATTATTATTTTCTAGGAGCAATTTGTCACTGTGCTAATTTTTAGGTCTGTTGATCGTAGCACAGTTAAAAATTATCGCTCAGTTTCTTTACTAAGCAGTTTCTCCGAAGTCTTTGAAATGACGCGCTTCACAAATGTCTTTATAAATACTTCCATCAAAAGATTTGTCTCCAACAGCACCGTTTTATAAAGGGGAAGTCGGAAGAAACAAATTTGTGCCATTTGTTCATGGTCATCAACAAGTTGGCGTGATATACTTTGACATATCAAAAGCATTTGATAGGGTAAATCACGACATGATTCTGCGTAAACTGGATGATTATTCGCTCTGTTTGACGTTATGTTGTTGGTTTAGAAGTTGTCTTGAAGTGAGGCGCCAAAACAACGAGAACACAAGGAGAGAAGCAGACAGGACGAGGCGCACTTTCAACTGAACTTTATTTTAGAAAACCACAGAAACGCAAGCTATGCCCAATGTACACGTGCGCATGGGTAAGAAATAAAGATAGAACGAAGCCTAGCGCGTTTTCCTACGCGACACGTTCATTTTGAAGGAACGTATACTCCCTATCAGATAGAGATAAAGATGGGGCGCTGACACAGACATCGGTGCCACGAGATCTTATGGTGAAGGCCTCGAAGATTTCGCGAGCGATTTTTGTTGCGCCGCTTCCAACCATTGTTGTTTCGTCAAACTTTGGGTCACACTCGCATCGATCGCCAAGTGGCCAGACGGGGATTGCCTAGTTGACGCAGAGTGCTCCTCGATTCTATCATTAATGCACCTCCCCGTCTGGCCAACATACACTCTCCCGCAAGACAGGGGTATCTCATAGACGACTTCAGTGACGCAGTCGCGGTACTGCGTCACGTGTCTCTTTTTGCAATCCCTTTCTGTCCCAGTGGCTTCACCTGAGCTCCTATTGATCCTATTGCACAATGCAGAAAGTTTATTTGGCGCAGAAAAGACAACAGGAATGCCAAACCTATTGGCTACCTTCTTCAGGCTGTGGGATAGTCTGTGTATGTAGGGTAAGACCGCAGGTCTGGCCGCCCTCCTTATGTTACCCTGCGGTAACATAAGGTTCTCCAAACTTGAGTTTTGGATCTGTTGTTTGGAATTCCTTAAGTAATACCGCATCATTCTCTACCGAGCGAGTTCAAAATAATGTTATGGCTATTGTTTACGAGCGATTCTTTAAACGTAGGTGGTGATAGTTGCGAAGGGCTACATACAAAGCTCAGTTTATCGTCTTTGTTTGATAGACGACGTATCGGGGTATCTTATTCTTGTATAGGAATACATCTTTGACGAAACGTTTAGATTGATTCTTGCAGGCGCCGATTTTTACGGTCCATTTTAGATCGAGCCTGGCGCCGCCGCTTATTTTGGCACTCGGCGGGTTTGTAAAACTTTGATTCCTGGATTCTTTGGATTAAGTACGGTTCATTAATCTGCATATGTTCGTTTATATATATATATATATATATATAGCATATATACCAAGATACCAGGAGCACAAAAGAGGACGAGTGGCATGACTAACCAAGAAGCACTACCGGTGCTTCCTGAATGACACCAAAAGATTGTAGCGTTGAATGTGGGCGGACCTGATATTAAACGGAATATAGACCAGCGTCTGCTCTGTCCCATGAGCGCCGTCATGTTTGTTTATGCTGACGCCATGACACAGCAGTGTGGCTGCGCTTTTTGCTAGACTCCACTTTCTTCTCTTATTCTCTTTTTTAGAAGCCTTTGCACATATCATGGTGCGAGAACTTTCAGAAATGTATAGTCACGAAGCTCCAAGAACAACACCGATGTCGAGAGTGCCGTAAAAAGCAAAAATGTGCGCGCAGCCCCCCTGTTCGCAGGAGCCTGCGTTTGAGATTATCATCTCACACTTTTTGTCGTGGGGGGCTAGGATTTCGGACACTGGTCTATATATTCCGTGTGCTCGGTGGACGGCTCTTCGACCCTCCTTCTTTTCCTGCGGACGCAGTGACTCGAAGGAACGGAAGACACCGACGGTCTGGGGGAATGCTCTCATGCGCAGTAAAAGCAAACGGAGCAAAAAAAAAAAA